AAGCTGGCTTTTTACGAAGTTAAAAATTTTACAAAGTTTAGTACATTTTTTATTAAATTTTATGTAGATTTGTATAAAATGTAATGTAAGTAAACGTTAAATTTAAGTTGTATAACAGCGAGGGAAAGTTGGCTTTTTACGAAGTTAAAAATTTTACAAAGTTTAGTACATTTTTTATTAAATTTTATGTAGATTTGTATAAAATGTAATGTAAAAGTTAAATTTAAGTTATACAACTTAAATTTAACGTTTACTTACATTAAATTTTATATACAAATCTACATAAAATTTAATAAAAAATGTACTAAACTTTGTAAAATTTTTAACTTCATAAAAAGCCAACTTTCCTTCGCTACATGAAATTGTACCTTCATTCTACAATTACCAAAAGGAAATGGAAAATTAGAATTTTAATTCCATGGCAACACTAACATATTTATTTGTAAACCGGCATGTACCCCGCCGGTCCGGACGGAGCCGGTACGTATCCCGCCGGCCCGAACGGAATCGGTACGTATCCTGCCGGCGCGGAAGATACCGGTGCGTATCCTGCTGGTGCTTGCTGGGCCGATGCGGAAGATATCGGTGCGTATCCTACCGGCGCGGAAGATACCGGTGCGTATCCTGCTGGTGCTTGCTGGGCCGATGCGGAAGATATCGGTGCGTATCCTACCGGCGCGGACGGAATCGGCAAGTATCCTGCCGTGGCAGGCGATATGTATCCTGCTGGAGTGGTTGCGTTCGCAAACAGTACAGTTGAAGATGGCAAAGTCGTCGACACAGTAGACACGGCAAGTGCTGGCGAAGCATGTTCCTTGAATGCAACAGGCAATGCGGACGGAGTGGGCCGTGCAGTTCGTCCAAATTTGTAACGATTCTCCCTCTGCTTCTGCTTTTGAATCGCGCGGTGCACCTCTTGTTTTATTTTCTGTAAATAAAAACTTTTTTATTATAATGCTGTTTCACTAAGAGTATAGGTTCTTTCACTGACATATTCTATGGAACATTCTGAGACGAAAACTTTTGCTGAAATGTCAACTTATTTAAATTGCAAACTTTCTAAGTACACTAGGTTTTAAATGTTTGTATTTTGTTAATACAATAGAATAAGAATGGCTCAATTAATTTCAATACAGAAACTTTAATAATGTGTGGGCTATTGGAGCCTTACGCCAGTTATTAAATTGTGAATATAAATGTCAATGTAAAGATATTATTTACAAATTATATATCAATTGAAAACTTAATCATATGACGTTTCGACCCTTACTGTGGTCATCTTCAGTGATATTACAAATTTAAAAGTATCTTAACAATATTACAATATATTCGACTCTGTTACTACAATTCTACATTCAATTATCAGAATTGTAATCTTCGTTACCAAGGTGTTCTTTTCAGAATTCCATTAATTCTGTTCTTCCATTACACATTATTCTCCTCATTGTTGTCGCAATTGTGTTATCATATCCCAGATTACGCTCCATTATATGTAACACAGCAGATCCGAGGATTCTTTATTGGATCCACAACCAATACTCTCTTACATCAGTAACCAATTATGTAAGATTGTAATTAATTCCTTCCATCTGCTATATTCTTACATTATAAAATTCTTCTGTTATCTTTAGCAATGAGAATAACCTTCTCCGTCAAGATTTTGTACAATAAATAGATTATTATATAAATTATTATTACTATTATTATTATATAAATAGATTATATATATATATTATTGTACAAAATCTTGACGGAGAAGGTTATTCCCATTACTAAAGATAATAGAATTTCATAATGTAAGAATATAGCAGATGAGAGGAATTAATTACAATCTTACATAATTGGTTACTGATGTAAGAGAGTATTGGTTGTGGATCCAATAAAGAATCCTCGGATCTGCTATGTTACATATAATGGAGCGTAATCTGGGATATGATAACACAATTGCGACAACAATGAGGAGAATAATGTGTAATGGAAGAACAGAATTAATGGAATTCTGAAAAGAACACCTTGGTAACGAAGATTACAATTCTTATAATTGAATGTAGAATTGTAGTAACAGAGTTGAATATATTGTAATATTGTTAAGATACTTTTAAATTTGTAATATCACTGAAGATGACCACAGTAAGGGTCGAAACGTCATATGATTAAGTTTTCAATTGATATATAATTTGTAAATAATATCTTTACATTGACATTTATATTCACAATTTAATAACTGGCGTAAGGCTCCAATAGCCCACACATTATTAAAGTTTCTGTATTGAAATTAATTGAGCCATTCTTATTCTATTGTATTAACAAAATACAAACATTTAAAACCTAGTGTACTTAGAAAGTTTGCAATTTAAATAAGTTGACATTTCAGCAAAAGTTTTCGTCTCAGAATGTTCCATAGAATATGTCAGTGAAAGAACCTATACTCTTAGTGAAACAGCATTATAATAAAAAAGTTTTTATTTACAGAAAATAAAACAAGAGGTGCACCGCGCGATTCAAAAGCAGAAGCAGAGGGAGAATCGTTACAAATTTGGACGAACTGATGCCAGGGACACGGTTGACAAAATTTCCGGAGCCGTCGTTGACCTTGACGGGGTCGTCGTCAGCCGATCAGGCCATTTATTGCAGTTTCTGCAATATTTTATGCTGCCTTCACTTTTTGCTGAAAAAAGATAAATACTTGAAATGCTTGTCGGGCAAACTAATTCTAATATATATATATTTATATAGACTTTATAGATCAGAGCTTCCTAACTCACGTGTAGCGTGCGTTTTACATTACAAAATCCTTCTTCCTTCTTTCCTCGATTTGACTTCCGATATACAGAGACGATAAAATGCATCGTCTACAATACACAGAATAAGTAAGAGTAAGAAATTGACCAATCACAATCGATTATTCTTCTCACATTCGACTGTGATTGGTCAATTTCTTACTACTTCTTACTCCGTGTATTGTAGACGATGCATTTTCTTTTATCCGTCTCTGTATGTCGGAAGTCAAATCTAGAAAAGAAGAAGGATCTCGTAACGTAAAACGCACGCCATGTGCGAGTTGAAAGGCTCTGCCGTACATCTTTCGACCATTAATAAGGTTATCTTCAGTACAATGATTATGCGAACAGTAATCGCACCGAAAATAACTTTATTAAAGGTGAAACGTTTAGTATACATTACAATCATGCATGATATACATATACAATTACGAGGAATATGTACTTACGCCTTCGATTTCTTAATCCGTAACAATTTGACTGCGAAGTCTCGCGCACCATCCCTCTGGACTGTCACTGCCGAACTGCCGCGATACCGTACGCGCCGTGCAAATGTTTTGCCGTGCAAAGATGACGATCGCGTTCAGCAAATTCAACTGTCACGTGCTTGTCGCGCGCTGTGCGCGTGGCAACTTATTATTGTCGAGAAGCGTTGCGTCCTGTGTATGTATGTACAGGACTAAATTCTCTTCTACAATAGGGTCGCAAACCGTAAAGGCCGGTCTACAATACACGTAGTAAGCTTGATTTACTGCTATTCTTCGAATGCTTCGACGGCTCGCGTAAAAGAGCAACGTTCTACGAACGCGGTACAGCGCACGGAGTCGTGGAAGAGAGATGATTAATAAAATTACAAGGATGATATCAATAAAATGTTATAGTTTACAAATTGAAAAGTCTTTATACGTCGTGCAATATAGAAATAATTTTTTATTTGGCTATTGGAGATTCGGTACTCAACTCGACGGCTCGCGTAAAGGAGTACGGCAATGTCTCGCGCCATGTGTCAGCGCCGAGACACTACCGTGTCTCCAGATTCTTCCAACAGTTGTTTAATTAAAACTTAAAAGTACACGTATAAAGTAATTATATAAAAATAGATTCTAGTAATACGTTTATTGATAACGTTATTTGTAAAAAAAAAATTTATGAAAAGAGAAGAACCGAACGTAGGATCTTCAGCATACTGATCTCGCTACTAACGCCCGAAACCACGCTGAGTTCTTACGGTTCACCTCTACGAACGCGGTCTTAAAATTTAAACCAACAACTGTAGGAAGAATACCGAATCAGTTTATTCAATTGACAAATAAGAAAGGAAAAAATTTTCGAATAAAATTTCTGATAATGAAGTAAATTCTGGAAGTGGAATAATCAGACATTCGACATATCTTAAAAAAGAAACTTATTGCAAACAAGTAATACTTATTATAAACAAGTAAGTGCACATTACTATTTAGATTTACATGTCACAATTTATTTCAAAATTAAACAATTTTCTATCAAATATCATCGCGGACTCCTCGGTATCTTTAGATTGAACAAATCAACAACTCAATGAATGAATATAAGAACATTTGTTACATTCTGAAAAACTAGAAAATTGTTAAAAGTGACACATAAATCAAGTGTGTGTGTGTTGTTATTTTTTTTTATAACATGTTAATATACAAATCTCAGAGTTATTAAATGTTGTCACTGTCTCGCTTTAAATTCGCTTTATATCTCGCTATATGTTTTTATAGTTTGAATTTCATTCTCAAACATGTAACCAAAAACTCCAAGGAATTTAAATAATACAGTATTGTTGTATGCCATAATGTATACCTAAGTATAAAAAAATATTATGCATGTGCTCTACTAAATCTTTACTGTAACTTTTTTAAAACCTTTTTTTTTAAAGTAATAGAAAAAATGTAAAAACAGAACGTTCTTTAACGTTCTTTAATTTATTCACAATGTCATTTAATAATTAACGTATGTATATTAAAAAATTTTTCCAAATATTAAGATTCAAATCCAAAACACGTTATATAAAATTTGAATATTTTATTCCTTGAAAAGAAATATTAATGTATTCTGTCAAAAAATATTTAGATATATGTTTGTAAAAATGCACTCATTTTTTTATAGATGCATTTACATTATCGAGGTTAATATAGACAATCTGGAAACATCTTTATATTCACGTCGTATCATCGCAGTAGTATTGGCATACTGAAAAGTAAACGGACTCTTCTTTGCGCCGATATTATCTATTGCGCGGACCGTAAACCGTTATGCGTGATGTTGCGCGCGTAAACAAACAACGGCGCGAGAAGACAAGTCTATCCCTGCTGTTATCCGCGTCCACATCGTTGCCGCGTAACAGCTGTGTCATTATCAGTGGTGTAGTGTAGTAGTGTTATAGTGTGTGTTCGTTGTTTCCCAAAAATGGGAAGAAATTATTCTAGGAAAGTACTACCTCTCTGTGCTAAGAGAAAGACCAGAAAGGGAAAATGGTTGAAAAGGTTAGTATGTCATTTGCGTGTTATTTGAGAAAGCATAAAAATGATATGTTACATGCTCGCTACCATACATTTGACAAACTTCCGCTATATTTATATTAGTTTTTATACGGTCTCTCTCTCCCTCTTTCCCTCCCTCTCTCTCTCTCTCTTCCTTTTTTTTACTAGAAATCAAAGTATTTCATGTACAGGACGTTGGTAGCGAGTATGTGACATACATTTATATTAATTGCTAAACACACACACGCGTACGCACGCACACGCGCACACACACACACCCACCCACCCACACACACATACAGAAAGTGCTCATAACTTCGGGAATGTTTGCGATTTATATATACATATAAGCATCTCACGATATATGTATAAATGCAATAAATATCTCAATAAATAAAAATTTGAAATTATTAAAATTTTTAGGAGAATTATGGGCGTATTGAAAGGGAGATTAAAAATTAAATATGCAACATTTTGGCTGGCGCACAGTGTATTCAATACACAGAGAAAAAGATTTCTTTGGATTTAATAAATTTTATCGTATCTAAATAAATTTGTTATTTGGAATGGTCCAAACAAACCAATGTTTGAATCAATAAGTGTGATTGTTTGAATTTGAAACAATGTATATCTTCGTCTTAAATATATTATTTGTTTGAACAGATAATATCTATCTTCAGTACTCGCGTGATCAACTGTACGGCACATACATAATTGATGTAGCACATAGCACTGCTCGTTTAATTCTGTTAGACGTATAAGCCATTGTTTCCATATTTTCGGTCAAAAAAATGTAACGACTATTCTAAGAAAGCAATTATTTGCATGGAATAACCTAACCTTTATGAATTTATTTTGCCTTTTTCAAATAAACAATTTGTTTCATTGTTTGTATTCATTGTAACCAAATAATATATTATCTAATTGAAAGATATTACTTCAAATAATGTTATTTCTGTCAAGCAATAAAGATTTCTCAAATGAAACAATAA